AGAGAGAGAGAGAGAGAGAGAGAGAGAGAGAGAGAGAGAGAGAGAGAGAGTTGAGGGAAAGAAAGTCCAAAATAGAAGATGACAAGATCCAGGAAGAGAAAAGTTTGGCGTCACCGCCGTACACTCACGCCAAAGATAACAATCCGCAACAAAGGCGCATTATCCGTTAATTCCAATATGGCCCCAGGCCAATCAACTCAACATCGATCCTCATACCCGCACCGACGATCCCAGTCGTCGCGTGCTAACTCCCACCACTGCGATCGTCACCCCGCTGTCGTAAACTCGACACGGTTCATCCAGATCCTACAGTCCGTCGTGGCGATCCAGCGCGCGACCGGCCTGTCTATCGTCAGCCCGACAGGACTTTCCGAATCGCTTCAAACACTCTGCCTAGCCACTGCTTCCCGGAAGCTGGCTTGAGAGTCGAGAACGTAAGAGAGCTTGGCGGGCACGCTTGCGGGTTTTATAGTTGTGACAGAGGAGATAGAAGGGGGAGAGAACGACGGGAAGGCGGGGGTGTAGGAGGAGAAGGAGGAGAAAACTTTGAGAAGAGCGCTCCGAGAACGCCATGTTGATCCCACGGAACTCAAGGTTCAACCAATCAGATTCGTCGCGCGATAGGAAGTTCCTATCGTTCCACGCACCTGATTGGCGAGCGGGAGTTATCGGGGGATCGACTGGGAGTCGTACGCCAGACTCAGAGGGTGAGAAGAGAAAAGGCGCGAGAGGCGGCGCAAGACGGGTCCAAGATTCAGACGATCAAGAAAGGGAAATGGGCGCGCAAAACAGCAAGACGGGGGAGGGGGAGAGAGGAAGAAACAATTACGGGGAGAGAGAAAGAGGAGGGAGAAGGAAAGGGAGCGCGGGAGGGAGCGATGTGGGGGACAGAGAGGAGAAAGCCTCTGCATGCGTGGCGCCGTCAACAAAAAAAGAAAGAAAAAGGCACCGAAACAGTTACAGTTTGCTCCTATCCTAATTCAAAATTGAAATCACCATATCCGCGCGCGAAAAAGCGACGCGGGAAAAGTCCTACGCCTATTCGTATTCACGCGAAATTCCGAGAGTTTTCCCCGACGCGCCCAAGAACATTTACACACCCAAAAAGGACACGTCGAAGTTCCGCTTATCCCGGAATTCCCAACTACCGAGCCCAATTCCCAGTGCGCTCGCTAAGGCGCACGTTAATTCCCATGTATTTCCCGACTTTGCAAGAAGAAAAACAGAACTCAGCAGTCGAAAAAGCTCTCAAAAAGGAAAATGCGGCACCCGAAAGCAAGAACTCAAAACGGGGTTTTCCTGGGGTTGGTATGATACAAGCAAAGGAAAGGGTACAAAAGATGGCACGGGGTCGGGAAGTGGTTCGTCACACGCTGGACCCGCTTTCCAGCAGGTGACGCTCCCCACCAATAGATGGAGCTGGCCTTGGGGTGGTAGTGGTGTCTGCCCTCATCAGCACCACTAACACTTTAGTGGCTATTTTCTT